ATGACACCCTATCTTATCTAGGCATTTATTGTAGGAAATTGTGTGAAACTAATCAGGGATACATTTGAAAGTCCTTGTCCCAGTGGCTTCCAGAACTGAAGTATGTTTCCTCTGCAGACACCAGACACTCATTCCTCCGGTGACACCTTCATTTTATTTCCTGCTTGGCTTTGGGCCTTAATGCTGTGCTAAACGAAGAGACTCTGTCTTTCAGATCCCCCAGGTCGTGCCAGAGGTATGCGGACCTGAGTGTTGACAATGAGGTGGGAAGGGTTGCACGAACGGGCACTCTCTGCTTTTCTCAGGGGGGCATACTCCGGCTGACATCACAGTCCTGGCTCAGGGTGTGTCCTTCCAAGTATCCCTGCCCCTCCTGCAGGTGCAATGCTGATCCATGTGGCTTCCTTTCTTCCCTGGGGAGAGTCTATCCTTGGTTGGTTTTTTTCCAGATCTTCCAGCAGCCCGCAAAGTCTTCCCACTGATGTCTTCAGCTTTCTTTTTTCTGCCCCTTCCATGAGGCTGCTATTCCTGAGGAAATGAGAGGAGGTGGGAGATGAGGCTGTCATTCCTAAGAGAATGGACAGAGCTTTGGAGCTTTTCTTTCTCTATCCCAGTTTCTATGAGTTCCTCCAGTGCCAGCAACACAGAGGTGTTAGCGCCTTTGCCCTGCAGGTGAAAGCTTTGGTAATGCAGTGGTGGGGGGGGGCGGGGAGGTGGGTCTGGATGCATTTCAGCCACAGCTGCTCTTCTGTTTTCCCACACAGAAGCATCTCGGGAGGTAGAGGGTGGAAGATTTCTGTGACATATCCTCAATCCTGGCAGAAAAGGTTTCAGTAGCAGTAGGAATCCCTCAGTTGTGCGTGCTCTGACAATTTAAACAATAACTTCACCGCACTAAATTTAAATAATTTAAAGAAAATGTTCAGTTTAATGTTGTTTTTCTCTTATATGACATTTGCTGGCCTCTGCCCTACATACGGTCATATCTCTCCCTGTTTGTTTTTGTAAATCACTGAGTTTCTCAAGATGTAAGGTCTCTTGTTTGTCCTATAACATCAATAATCTGATGTACTAAAGAAAACACGCCAATTTGCAGCTCAGTAAGATCGGTTGTAAAATAACATACTTTTCTTGGATGCCTATATCTCCGTGCTGAGTATAAACTTTATTTTTAATACTAAAAACAAGAAATAACACAAATATTATGGTGCTTTATAAATAAATAATAGGGGTGCTCTCATTAACTGCAATGCTGCTCCTCATTAGGATCGACACATTTTTTTTATACAAACCAAATTACTGACTCACATGTAATTAGGCTGAGGAAGAAGCCACAGAAATGAAATTGAAGCTACAAGATTTCACTTTAAAAAATCTTGAAAAAAAGATCTAAAGTAACAAAGATGAAATTTTGTCTCAGTGTAATAAGAGGGAAATGACTGGGAGGCAGGAATCAAAGGAAGAGACGGAAGCTTTTAAGTGTAGTTCATTGGTATCTTGATTGTTATATGGGCTGCATAGGTGAGCACATGTGAAGTGACGTGTTTTCCTTTGGAGACATGGTCTTGCTTTGTCATCCAGGCGGGAGCTCAGTCGTGAGATCACAGCTCTCTGCAACCCTCAGACCCTGGATCTGCAGCAATCCTCCTCCTCTTCCCTGCATAGCTGGGACCACTGGTGTGCACCACAAGGCTCAGCTTCAGTGCTTATTCAACTGCACACACTAACTATGCAGTATTTATTCTAAAGCAATAATGCCTCAATAAGGGTATTGTCAATAAGCGGATATGTAATTTGTTAAAGATTGATGACAAGATAGACACAAATATAAAATATGTATGACACTTGAGAAATGCAACTGTAGAAAATGTGCTTTTCTTTACATTTGTTAGGTAGTCACAGCAGTGATTACGCATCACACCATGTTTTCATTACAGAGAAAAGGTTCTGCAAACCTCACTAGGTGCCACCCACTGTGCGCTGGCTTGGTTCAGGGAGAAGTCGGGTCCGGTGGTGAGAAGCACAGGCCCAGGTACACAGGTGCACTCTTACCAAATGTGAGCTCTGGGGACATTGTACAACCCACCTGTGCTTTTCCTGGTAATTTTTTTCCACCACCTGTAACATGGAATAACATTGATACCACATACCATGTTTTCTTTGCATATATAAACATAAAAGATGATTGGTGCTAAATTTAAATATATGTGATTTATATAGATTTATTTTACCTCAATAAAAAATGTTTCAAAATAGAAATTAAAATACATAGGTTTCATAGGTTTTAAGGGTTTATCACAGAGCAAACTTACAATAAGAAACCACAATTTCCCAATACTATCAATGTCACAAATCTCCCCCAGGACACTGTCCCGTTCTCTGAGCCTGCTCTCTCCTCACGCCTCTCACCACAGATCTTGCTATATAGCAGGAGACATGCAAATAGAGCGGTCCCTCTGCCTGATGAAAACCAGACCAGCCTGACCTGCAGCTCTGGGAGAGGAGCCCAGCCTGGGATTTTCAGGTGTTGCATTTGGTGATCAGCACAGAACACAGAGACTGAACTTACCATGGAATTTGTGCTGAGCTGGGTTTTACTTGTTGCTATTTTAAAAGGTAATTCATGAAGAACTATTGAAATTGAGTGTGGGTGATAAGAGTGAGATAAACGGTGGATATTTATGGCACTTTCTGACCAGGGTTTCTTTTTGTTTGCAGGTGTCCAGTGTGAGGTGCAGCTGGTGGAGTCTGGCGGACGCTTGGTTCAGCCTGGGGGGTCCCTGAGACTCTCCTGTGCGGCCTCTGGATTCACATTCAGTAGCTACGCCATGGCCTGGGTCCGCCAGGCTCCGGGGAAGGGGCTGGAGTGGGTCTCAGCCATTAGTAGTGGTGGCACATACTACGCAGACTCCGTGAAGGGCCGATTCACCATCTCCAGAGACAACGCCAAGAACTCGCTGGATCTGCAGATGAACAGCCTGAGAGCCGAGGACACGGCCGTGTATTACTGTGCGAGAGACACAGTGAGGGGAAGTCAGTGTGAGCCGGAACACAAACCTCCTGCAGGAACTCTCGGGGAATCAGCTGCAGGGGGCGCTCGGGAGCCACTGATCAGCGTCAACCCCAGAGGCAGGTGCAGATGGAGGCTGATTTCCTGTCAGGATGTGGGACTTCATCTTCTGACAGTTTCTCTAGTGAATCTCTCTAAATTTAGAATTCTGTGCTTCCTAATATTATCTCTACCTTATTTTTTAAAGATCGAGAGAGAAGAAAGAAAAGTTCCAAAGCTCTGTCCATTCTTTCAGGAATGACAGCCTCATCTCCCACCTCCTCTCATTCCTCAGGAATAGTAGCCTCGTCTGCTGGGAGGGGCAGAAAAGAGGAAGCTGAAGACATCAGTGGGAACTCTTAGTGGCTGCTGGAAGACCCATTGTTCAAATCTGCTCTTGTTGTCTGTGCCTTTAATGTGAAATATAGGAAATCTCTGTTAACATTATTTTTGGGTGAGGGAAATTGTACAACTGCAGGTTATGCATTTAACTATTTAGCCCATTTAGAGTTAATTTTTGTGTTTTATTCTAAACTAAAATTCTTAACTCTTTGCATGTGTAAATCCAGTTTTGCCAGCACTCTGTTAGGAGAGACTTGGTTTATCCGTTGTATATTGCTGGTTCTCATGCTGAAAATCAGATTGTCCTCGTGTATCAGTTTATGTCTGAACTCTTAGTATATATTTCTGCCTATCCCATTTTGTTTTTATTACTCTACTTTTGTAATTACTTTTGGAATCTGGAAGTAAAATGCCTTCAAGTTTATTCTTGCCTTGTTACAGATACTCTAGCAAAATATTTAACATTTTACTAATTAAGTATGATAACAGATATGGCGTTTCATAATGACTTTTATCATGTCCAGGTTATATTCATTTGTTCCTACTTTTTAGAGTTTTTTTATCATGAAATCTTGATTTTTAAAATGTTATTTTCTTTGTCTAGTGAGAAGTTAATGGAAATTTTTTTCTTTATTATCTTAGTTAAGCACACCAAATGTATTGACTTGAGGATGCTGAGTCATCTGTGCATCTCAAAAATAAATTTTAGTTTCCTATGGTGTATAATGCCCTCTTTTTTTGAGACAGAGTTTTGCTCTGTCGTGCAGGCTGGAGTGCAGTGGTGCAATCTTGGCTCTCTGCACCCTCCGCCTCCCAAGCTTAAGTGATTCTTCTGCCTCAGCCTCCCAAATAGCTGGGATTACAGGAATGTGCCACCACACCTGGCTAATTTTTGTATTTTTAGTAGAGACCAGGTTTAACATGTTGGCCCTGCTGGTCTTAAATGTCTGACCTCAGGTGGTTTATCACCTCACCCTCCCAAAGTGCTATTATTACAGGTGAGACTCACTGCACCCAGTCGGTGTATGATCCATTTAAAGTCCGCTAGAATGTAATCGACTAATACTGGGAGTAGTATATTATGCATATTAAGAAAATTTGAAGTGTAACTTTCTTATTTTTGCCATTGTCTATTACTGGTAATATGGTTATTGTAGCCTTTTAGAGAGAGTTGAGAAGGTTGGAGCCTCACCAATTTTTGAAAAAGTTAGAGAATAGTTGGCATTATTATATTTTTAACTTTGAAATTCATTTTTTATCTAACATACACCTATCATGAAGAATATTTACTGTGTGCTTGGGATGCATGTATAAATTACGCTGCTCTTGGTTGAAAGGTTCTGTAGACGTCTATTACGTCCGTTTGTTCAATAGCGTTGGGTAAACCCACTGGCTTCCTAAGAATGTTTTTGTGGATGTTCTATACATTATTGAGGGTGAGGTGTTGGAGTCTCCTCCATTTATTGTTCCTATTTCTACCTTCATATCTCTTAAAGCTGATCAATACACTTTTACTTCTATTTTTACAAGTATGTAAAATAGAAATAAAATAATTGCTTAGTAATTTTAATGGGAAAATCATATAGTAAGAAATTATGTTTCCCAAATGCTGCCATCACTGCTACACTCCTCCAGGAGTCTCACGTCTGCTCTGTGCTTCGCTCTCTCCTCAGAGTTTTCTACAGAGGAGACCACAAATAGGACCTTTCCCCTACTGATGAAAACCAGCCCTGCCCTGACCCTACAGCTCTGGAGAAGAGCCCCAGTCAGAATTACCAGGAATTTTGATTTGATGATCAGCTCTGAACACAGAGGGCTCACCATAGAGTTAGGGCTGAGCTGGGTTTTCCTTGTTGCTATTTTAAATGCAAATAATGGAGAACTAGAGATATTGAGTGTGAGTGGATATGAGTGAAAAAACATGATTATGTGCAACAGTTTCTTACCAAAATGTCTCTATGTTTGTAGGTGTCTAGGGTGAGGTGCAGGTGGTGGAGTCTGGGGAAGAGGCAGGAGGCAGAAAAGTGCATAGGAGGCCGGGCGAGGCTGTAGACAGTATCAGCCCACTATGCCAATCCACAAAGCTTGATGTGAGAGCCTCCAGGATTGAATAATTGACAGCTCATGTGCCCAGGCAGTTTCATTTCTCAACTTTCCACACTGATATATCCAGAAGTCAGCTCCACTTCCCAGGTGACTCCATCATGCACTGAATGGTGACAGCATTCCCAGGGGTCACACACATGTATTAAATATTGGCTGCACGTGGGGAAGAGACATTTCTGCTACTCTCTGAAGGACTAGAGACACCTCAACAGACTATCTCCCCTGTCCTCATGACTAGAACTTCACCACAAGGCCACATAGACACTCATCCCTTATGGGAATAAAAAGATTCCATTGATGAGGCTGACTGTTTTTATTATATAAAATTGCTAAAGACTGACATAAAATTTTCAGAACTAATTGAAGTCTGTTACTCTATGTCCACCAGAGACTACAGATCTTCCAATGGCATCTTCCTTCTCTTTTCTACCTGACTTTGTCTCTTCACCTTGTTCTGTCCTCCAGACAATCTCTTTCAGTTCCCTCAGGTTCATGCACTTGTTTTTTATTTACCGACAGTTTCTAATCAGTGCAAGGCATTAGACTAAAGGCTCTATATCCCTAGGTCCATATCCTTGGTCATATTCCTAAGAAGGCTTTGTGACCCTGTGTCTGGGCCTGAGCTTGCGATTGTTCCTGACCCTTCTCTAGATGACATGCAGGTCTGTGTTTTCTTGCCCCTTCCCCTGGGGTAGAGTCTCCCTGTTTCCCCAAGGTGTTTCCTCCCACAGCTCTAGTGCTCTCCACCTGTGTCATCACCTTCCTGATCTACTGCCCTTCCCTGCAGACTAAGGCTCTGATGCCATAAGAAACAGGGGAACTGCTTCCCAGTACAATTTTGGTAGGGAAACTTGTTCCCATCTCCATTCCTGATAGGTTGCAGCAGTGCCTTTAGGGTACATGTATTGATGGTTTTCCCCTGCAGAGTAATTTCTTAGTTCTGTAGTGGGGATAAGACCAGACAGTTGGGCTTGAACACATTTCAGAAGTATGGGCTCTCATATTCTTTCAGACAGACACTTTGGGAAGGGAAGATTTTTGTGACTGTTCCAATTATAAAGAAAGGGAAAGGTCAATCCCAAGATGGCTGAATAAAAGGCAGCTCCAGAAAGCAGCTCCCAGCCGAGAGAGGTGCAGAAACCAAGTGGTTTCCACAATTCCAAACGAGTTACCAGGTTCATTGTGTGGGTCTGGTAGGACAGTGAATATAAACCCGAAAAGCAGTGGCAACAAAATCCAAAATAGACAAATGGGATCTAATTAAACTCCAAAGTTTCTGGATAGCAAAGGAACAATTATTATAGGGAAGCAGCAACCCAACAAAATTGGAAAGATTTTTGCAATCTGCCTATCTGACAAAGGGCTGCAATCCAGAATCTACAAAAAACTAAAACAGATTTACAGAAAAAACCAAACCCATTCAAAAGTGGGCAAAGGATATGAACAGACGTTTTACAAAGAAGACAACTATGAGGCCAAGAAACATAAAAAAAAATGCTCATCATCACTGGTCATTACAGAGATGCAAATGAAAACCACATTGAGATACCATCTCACACCAGGTAGAATGGTGATCATTAAAAAATCAGGAGACACAGATGCTGGAGAGGATGTAGAGAAATAGGAACACTTCTACACTGTTGGTGGGAGTGTAAATTAGTTCAAACATTGTGGAAGACAGTGTGTCAATTTCTCAAGGATCTAGAAATAGAAATACTATTTGACCCAGCAATCCCATTACTGGGGATACACCCAAAGGATAATAAATCATCTATTATTAAGACACATGCATATGTATGTTCATTGTGACACTTTTTACAATAGCAAAGACTTGGACCCAACCTAAATGCCCATCAATGATAGGCTGAATAAAGAAAATGTGGCACATACACAACCTGGAATACTATGCGCCCATAAAAATGGATGAGTTCATGTCCTTTGCAGGGACATGGATGAAACTTGAAACAGTCATTGTCAGCAAACTGACACAAGAACAGAAAACCAAGCACTGCATGTCCTCACTCATAAGTGAGTGTTGAACAATGAAACATATGGACACAGAGAGGGGATGGGGGGACTGGGGGTGGGGAAACAGGAGGTGGGGGGATTGGGGAGGGAATAACATCAGGAGAAATAACTAATGTAGATGACGGGGGATGGATGCAGCAAACTACTGTGGTATGTGTATACTTAGGTAATAATCCTGCATAATCTGCACATGTACCCAGAACTGAAAGTATAAAAAAAGCAAAAAAAAAAAAAAAAAGATTAGTAGTTGTCTGTGAATATGTTGGAAGAAGGGAAAGAGAAAGGATAAGGAAATGTAGAAGGACAGAAGAAAAGTTGAGGTAATTTACTTGTCCACTTCTTGGATAATGGTAATAGTTATGTCATGATTATCAATTTTATACTTTAAATCTGAAAAAGGGAAAGAGAAAGGATAAGGAAATGTAGAAGGACAGAAGAAAAGTTGAGGTAATTTACTTGTCCACTTTCTTGATAATGGTAATAGTTATGTCATGATTATCAATTTTATACTTTAAATCTGAAAAATGCATAATCTGTCAATCAAACCCTATAAAATTTATAACAATGAAACAAGTTGAGTATCAGACAAGACAGGAGTGGCAGAAACATAGATGCCAGTATGTTCATTGTCAGAGATCTATCTGAACCCTAGTTCTCTCCATAGTTTTAGGTAAGCAGGAGAATACAGCAAAATCACATCTATTCTGATCCAGCAGTGGCTTCTGCAAACCACACTAGGCTGCCCTGGAGTTGGCTGAGGGAGGAGTCAGGGCCGGTGGTGAGAAGCACAGGCCCAGATACCAGCACTCGCTCATCCCAGACATGAACCCTGAGATACATACGGAGCCCGACCATGTGTGGGCTTTACTTTCACATCTGTAAATAGAGAACATCGACTCCTGTGGATCATAATTTACACGCATAGATAAAACTGAAATAAGGCGATCAGTGCAAAGTTTCCATCACAGTACAATTTAATAAGCACATTTTCTCAAACCCCGGTGTTGCCACCAGTTTTCCTCAGGACACCCTGATGTGCTCGGGGCCCTGCTTTCTCTTTACGTGTCTCACCCCCCAGCTTGCTATATACCTGGAGACATGCAAATAGGGCCCTCCCTCTGCTGATGAAAATCAGCGCAGCCCTGACCCTGCAGCTCTGGGAGAGGAGCCCACCCCAGGATTCCCAGGTGCTTCTTCTTGCTGATCAGAAGGCACACAGGGCACTCACCATGAAGACTGGGGTTTTCCTTGCTGCTATTTTAAAAGGTAATTCATGGAGAACTGTTGAAATTGAGTGTGAGTGATAAGAGTGAGATAAACGGTGGATATTTGTGGCAGTTTCTGACCAGGGTGTCTCTGTGTTTGCAGGTGTCCAGTGTGAGGTGCAGCTGGTGGAGTCTGGGGAGGCTTGGTTCAGCCCGGGGGGTCCCTGAGACTCTCCTGTGCAGCCTCTGGATTCACCTTCAGCGGCTATGGCATGCACTGGGTCCGCCAGGCTCCAGGGAAGGGGCTGGAGTGGGTCTCATACATTAGTAGTCCTAGTGGTAGTAGCACATACTACGCAGACTCCGTGAAGGGCCGATTCACCATCTCCAGAGACAACGCCAAGAACTCGCTGTATCTGCAGATGAACAGCCTGAGAGCCGAGGACACGGCCGTGTATTACTGTGCGAGACACAGTGAGGGGAAGTCAGTGTGAGCCCGGACACAAACCTCCTGCAGGGGACCCCTTCGGGCAGGTGCACGTGCTTCGGGCTGGCTTCCTGTCAGGGTCTGGGACTGACTCCTCATCAGGATTCCTCGGAGAACCTTTCAGATTTATGATTCTGTACTAACACTTAGTGTCTCTTAATGTGAAACCTTTCACCCCGGTGTTTATTTTAGCAGGAGGACACATCCTCACCTCCACAGAAGCCCGAGTGTCACCCTGGGCACAGAAATGGCCCTCCCCTGGCCACCAGAATCAGAGTCCCGAGGAAGCCCAGGAGAAGCTGGGAAGAGTTTTCCACTCAGACTCAGGGCAGACATCTCCGTGGGAATCTCTGATTGGAACAGGCTTTGGGATTCAGATTGGGACCAAGAGGGAGGCTTATCCCGGCCCATGGTCCTTACAACCCTGACATTTTCAGAGGAACCTCACTGTCCTTAAAGCTGAACATCAGGCTCAGGACTAGTCCATTTGTCCCTTTTTCTTACACTTCCCTTTTCTCCTTCTTTTTTCTGAAAATGGAGTGTGTGCTTCCTGTGGTCTAAACCGCAGGTCTCAGACACATTACCTGGAAATCGGGGTGGCTCAGGCTGTGGCTCCTGCAGAACCTGGAAGGCTGAGGGGTCTTTCTTATCTCCCATTGCCTTGACGCCCCTGCCATCTTCTATGCATGGACGCATTTGGGAAATGCAAGTAGACACTGATAGTCATTTCTTCGAATGGGATATTGATGAAGAGCTGATCCTGCGCTTCTCACCCTGTCGCAGAGCCCCCCTCACCTGTGACTCAAGACAGAGCTGAGGATAGACACTTTGTTGTGCGGTGGGCTCTGTGTGACAGCAGTTGTGAGGTCTGTCTAGGCACAGCCAAAGACAGTGGAACCAAACATCAGAAAAGACAGGCTGGAATTCCTGAGAAGCTCCACAGCCAAGTCATAGGGTTCCATTATCTTGGATTAAATCAGAAAAACCAAATTCATCCAGGACAATCTTCCTGACCTCAGAAAAGTGATGACAGGCTTTATTTTTATTTTTTATTTTTTATTGGATTATAGGTTTTGGGGGTACATGAGCAGAGCATGCAAGACAGTTGCGTAGGTATACACATGGCAGTGTGCTTTCTTTTCTTCTCCCCTTCACCCACATTTGGCATTTCTCCCCAGGCTATCCCTCCCCACCTCCCCCTCCCACTGGCCCTCCCCTCTTCACCCCAATAGACCCCAGTGTTTAGTACTCCCCTTTCTGTGTCCATGTGTTCTCATTTTTCATCACCCGCCTATGAGTGAGAATATGCGGTGTTTCATTTTCTGTTCTTGTGTCAGTTTGCTGAGGATGATGTTCTCCAGATTCATCCATGTCCCTACAAACGACACAAACTCATCATTTCTGATTGCTGCATAATATTCCATGGTGTATATGTGCCACATTTTTCCAATCCAGTTTATCATTGGGCATTTGGGTTGATTCCAGGTCTTTGCTATTGTAAACAGTGCTGCAATGAACATTCGTGTACATGTGATGACAGGCTTTAATAACGCCTGTAGTGTACCGTCAGATCAACACCTAAATCCGTGTTTGATTGAATGACTGACATTATGTTCCAGTCCAGGTGACAGAAAAAACCGATTATTACCATGATTAATATTTTATATTTTACACTGATTATTATTTTAATACTAACATTAATCAATGCAATATTAATATTAATACTTAATATTTTAAATTTGATAATAGGATCAGACTCATGTTATAATAATTTTGCTAAACTATGTGTGTCATTACTGATCTACCGAGCAGAAATCTCCAGGAGTTGCTTAAGTTTGCATGCGTTTGTGCAAGAAGGGCATCAACCCTTTTGAGGGAAAATGTGTGGAGGATAAATGAGGCTGGTGAAGCTGATGGCATAAGATGGAGTCCTGTCCCTGAGTGAAGGAGAGAAGATGTGCTAAGAAAGCCTGGAATATCACTGAGTCTTCTGCAAGACAAAGCTGCCCCTCAGGAAATCCCCAAGACCCCCAACAGGGGCTCTGGCTCAGATGAGTGCAGAGCTCATTCTGTTTCTGAGAATGGAGCACAGGACATGCATGGGCTTTCTCATGAGCCATGTCATGCACATCAAAGAGCAGCAGCCAGATGCATGATCCAAGTTCATGGCTCTGCCTGTAGGTGGAGGGAGAAAGGTGCCTTGTCAGAGCTAACACGCTGCGGATTTTTATACAGGACGCAAGTTTTTCGTAGTTTATTGGAAGGCATATGAAAATGTGTGCAGACTGCAAACAATTGTAATTTCACATTCGTCTGTTCCGGGATGTTTTGCAGAATTATTTTTTCATCATGCAGGACATCCTGGAACAGAGTTGCAATTCTCATGGATATTATACACACACATATACATAAATATTGGTAGAATGTATGTGCAAAATGATCACTTTCAAACAAATTGTAACAGCAGAAACCAGATATATCTTTCCACTGGATGCCAATCACAGTGGAATTTCTTAAACATGATTTAAAAATGTTTGACATCTAGTAATAAGGACAGTGATTGTTGAGAGGGAAAGGATAAAAAGGAGCCCGCTGACGAATGCATGCGCACTTTCCTGAGAGAGTTTCCAGGCACAGTGCTCAGGTAGGAACAGGTAGATCTGAAGTGGAGGAAAAGGAGCTGAGATGTCAGACAGGCCAAGAAGTGGGGAGAGCACAGAACACACAGAGGATTGCAGATCACTGTTCAGAGAGTGAGCTCCACAGATGGCAGGAGGGTGACCCCGTCTTTGTAGAGTGCAGACCTGTGTGTGGGTACCAGGGCAAGTTGTACATGAGAACACACCCCGTTAGAGGGGCTTTTCTCAACATCTAAAACTATGAAAAAATATATGAAATAATTGGTTTAACATATCCAAAATATATGTGGATAAAGGCAAATATAAAACAGGTGAATTCACCGCATTAATCGCTAGAAAAGTGTATTTCCAAACAGTGATACCATCAAAGAGGGTGAACAAATCAACTCCATCCTGGCAGTCGGCTTAGCAGAAAAATATTTAAAATACATATGGACCTACTAAAGAAACTTTAAACACAAGCATGAATAGAGTTATCTAATTACAGGAGTGATGGTGTAGAAAGCCCCAAGCTTTCCATTGAAACAACCACATCTGATAAAAATAAATGTAAATTTCAACCATTCAACATCAGTGCAAATTATTCTAAGAAAACACAGTAAATGGAAGTTACTGATCGATAAAATGTGCTGCTATAGATTGAATGTTTATTTACCCCACAGCGTCCATGTTGGAATAAACCCAACATGAGGGTGTTAGGAGGTGGGGCTTTGGTAAGTGAATAGATATTTTGGGGAGATGTTGTGGTGCCATCTTTATAAAAGTAAGATTAGTGCCCTCATGTGGAAATCCAGAGTTTTCCGGCTCCCCTTCCACCATGTGAGGACAGAGTAGGATGATGCTCCTCTATGAATCATTAATTGGGTCTTCACCAGATACCGATCTCAAAGCATCTTGATCGGTAACTTCCTAGCCTTGGGAATTCAGAAACACATGTTTATGTTATTTCTGAGCCGCCCATTTTGTTGAGTTCTCTTATAGCAGCTGAAACAGACTAAAACATTCATGAGGTCTCAGGAAGGGCAGTGAAGGTCCACCACACTTAAGAGATGAGCATTACTCTCTCATTGTCAGCTCAGGATGACAGAGTCTTGCCCTTGAGCTGATCTGACAAGAAGATGGTGCTTCCTCTCCCCCATATCTCAGTTGAGGCCATGGTGTCAGATCTCTACGGTGGAGAAAAATTACTATCTGTGATGTGATGGATGTTTATCTCCTCCAAGCTTCACTTACAAGACAGAGTTTCCATGCCATGCATTATAGATTCTCCCCCCTGCTCACTCCTATGGTAGAGCTCCTGGGGAGCTTCCTGCGAGAGGCACAGTGAGACTATATGAGTCCACTATTCACATACAGTGTTGTGCTCCTGAAGCAGGAATGTCACACTGAGAATCATGAATAACTTTGTGTGCACCATGGCATAGGCTGTTATGTTTTTATAGTTAAAGGGGCAGGGCATAAAAACAGAGATACAGAACTCTCTACATTGTGTGACTTCATGTGCAGTCAAATGTGAATCATTTCTACCTTAACGTTCTCCTTCTGCACATAATATATTTTTATTGTGAGTAAGTAATGAAAAGCTGACAGCTCCATGAGAGCAATAAATCACTTGGTTTAGCAGAGAGAATGAGAAATAGCGGAATTTAAGAATAATCAGCTGGACACTGTGCCATGTGCCTATATTTTCAACTAGACAGGATGCTAATGTGGGAAGATCACTTGAGTCCAGAATTTCGACTGAAAAACATTGCTAGACCCATTTTCTCCAAAAGAAAATAACATTCTGGGTTATGAAAAAACCTGAAAAACTGCCCCTCAAAATAGGAACAAATATAATTGCATTAGACTGTGGATTCATTTTTGACACAAAACAGTGACACTATGTCAGTAATGAGTACAGAATAACATCCAGTTGTTATTGTAAGAAGTACAGACTCTCAGAGACATCAGGCAGAGGCTGTCTAATAAAACATTGCCAAATGACTCTTTTCCATCGACATTGTGTGTATATCCAGGAATGCACCTGTGAATGGTGACATCATGTCTCTCACAGTGTGAAGTAAAAAGACATTACTACCCATCTAGCAAAGGATTAATAATGAGAACATACCAGGATCTCAAACACCTCCATAGGAAAAACATGGGACCAATTAACATAAAACCCAGCTACAACGTGTGAGTGTGTGTGTGTGTGTCTGTGTGTGTGTGTGTGCACCTGCACTTGTACGTGGTGCAAGAATCAACTGCAGGATCCTAAAGGAAATAAGACTCTCCCCCAAAACCCTGAAGAGTTTTTAGATTCTCCATGTGTCCAGTGATTCAGTGCCTCTTGAGCTCTAGGAAAGGTCTCCCTGGTGATGCATGA